TAAACAAAATACGGAGTTTGGAAAACAATATATTTCAAAAATACAGGATTATTCAGAGAAGGGCTACGCAAAAAAATTGAGCCCTGAAGAGGCATTGACAGAAGGACCTCGAACATGGTATTTACCCCATTTTGGGGTTATGAATCCTAAAAAACCAGGTAAACTAAGATTAGTGTCCGATGCTGCGGCTACATCTGATGGATTAAGTTTGAATGATTTTTTGATACCTGGACCTGATTTACTCCGATCCTTAGTCGCTATACTCTAGAAGTTCAGACAGAGAAAAATAGGATTTTGTGGACAGATGCGCACAAAGATTCTTGTAGAGGGAATTAGACACCAAAAGATCGGCAGATACTTACGAGATGCAAGTTATGATTTTCGGCTCTACATGTTCACCTGTCTGTGCACAGTTCGTAAAAAACTATAATGCTCAAGAACAAGCAGAAACTCCAGACGTTTTGACAGCAATTACCAAGAAATTCTATGTAGATGACTATTTAGATAGTACAGACACTGAAGAAGAAGCTTTACGTGTCATTCGAGAGGTGAGAAGAATTCAGAGTTTAGGTGGATTTGAAGTTGTCAATTGGATGACAAATTCTAAATTCATTCGAACTGAATACCATTCTGACATGTTTGTGAAAAACCTTGACGAGAAGAATCTACATAGAGTGTTAGGTCTTTGATGGGACACAGATAATGATGAGTTCCTCTTTAAACTCGATGAAGGGGATTGTTCGATAAATCAGCCATTCACGAAAAGAAAAGTACTCAAATCTTTGATGTCTATTTGATCCTTTGGGATTCATTTCACCATACACTGTCATAGCAAAAATTCTTCTTCAAGATATTTGGCGTGCCGATATCAAGTGGGATGACGTTCTTCCGGAAAATTTCATGAGTGTTTGGATGAAATGGATACAGGGAATTCAGAAAATTGAACATATCAGATTGCCTAGATGCTATTCCAAACATATACCAGTAACAGATAAAATAGAGTTGCATGCTTTCTGTGATAGCAGCGAACAGGCATTTGCATGTGTGGTCTACTTGCGGGTACAAGCAGGAACGAAAACTGAAGTAGCATTCATTGCCGCAAAACTAAGGTAGCACCTCTCAAGAAACTCTCGATTCCTCGTCTTGAGTTACAAGGTGCAGTTATGGTCAGCAGACTGAGTGATACAATTCGAGCAGAGTTGGAAATAAAAATTGATCGCACCATATATTGGACAGATTCGAGATGAGTACTATTTTGGATACGGAGTGATGCAAGAAATCATAAGCAATTTGTTGGACATCGAATAAGTGAGATTCAAGAACTCACCAACGTTGACGACTGGAGATGGATTCCAACCGATTTAAATGTAGCCGATGAAGCCACAAGAGATAAAGTCAAGTCCCATAAAGATATGATTTCAAGACAATGGTTCTTTGGCCCAGACTTCCTGATGAACACTGAAGAATGCTGGCCACACGAAGAGAACAGAGATCCACTTGAAACTGATTTGGAAATGAAGAAGGTTGTCAGTACATTTGATTACTTCAGGCCGAAGTTTAACAGATAGTCTGATGGATGTTAACAGATTCTCTAAATGGCTAGGGCTCATCAGGAGCACAGCATGGGTATTGCGATTTATAAAATTAGTCAGAAAACAGCGAACACACGAAAGAGAATTGAATGCGGAAGAACTGATAGAAGCTGAAAGACTTTGGATTCAAAAATCTCAGGAAGAATATTTTGAAGCTGACATCAGACGTTTACAAAGTGGAGAGTCAATAAGCAGAAGAAGTAAGATTTTCACTTTATGCCCGAAAATGAAAGATGGAATCTTGGTAGTTGAAGGAGGAATAAATTTAGCTGATTCATTACACGAGAATACAAAGAATCCAGTCATCCTAGATCCAAAAAATAGATACACTGAATTGCTAATAAGACATTTCCATGTGAAATTTCGACATCAAGGAATAAACCTCATATTGAATGAGTTACGCCAGAGATATTGGATAATTAATGGGAGAGCTGCGGTAAAATTAGTAATTAAGAAATACCAATTTTGCAAGAACCAAAAATCAAAATCAATCCCACCTATAATGGGACAACTCCCTATGGAAAGACTGACTTGGGAAGTGAAGCCCTTTGCAAATGTGGGAATAGATTATTTCGGCCCATTTCAGGTATCAGTTGGCCGAAGAAGGGAAAAGCGATGGAGCGTGTTATTCACCTGTCTTGCTGTAAGATCTATTCACCTTGAAATCTCTCATACTCTGAATACAGATTCGACAATATTAGCCATAAAACGAATGGTGGCGAGGAGAGGAAAACCAATGACAATTTTTTGTGACAATGGTGGAAATTTCCGGGGAGCAGCTAACGAACTTCGTGAGGCCCTGAGGACACTGAATACATCTTCATTAATCGATGCGATGACTTCTGATGGAACTAACTTCAGATTCAATTGTCCTTTAGCTTCACACATGGGTGGAGTCTGGGAGAGACACGTTGGATCAGTGAAAAGGGTCATTGGGAAAATTTTATATGGACGGTCACTTAGAGATGAAACACACCAAACGCTATTTGCTGAGGCTGAAAATATCGTCAATTCTCGTCCATTAACCACGTTGTCGACAGATCCAACCGATCCACAGCCACTAACTCCAAATCATTTCTTGATTGGAGACGCAAATTAAAATTGTTCTATTTGGAAAATGAACCCAGATAGTACTTGTTTGGGACGAGAATGGAGAAAAGTTCAGATGCTCACCGATTCTTTTTGGAAACGTTAGACAAGAGAATATTCGCTCATACTCAACGAAAGAAATAAGTGGACCATAGATCAAACTCCAATAGAAGTGAACGATGTAGTGTTATAAGTTGATGATAACAAACTAAAACATGATTGGAAATTGGGTCTTGTGAATAAAACATATCCAGGGCCAAATGGAAGAATCAGAGTTGTAGACGTTAAAACCTCTACAGGTGTACTTCGACGACCAGCAGTCAAAATATGCAAGTTGGAAGTTGAAGATGTTCAACATACTTCTTCACCTGGGGGGAGAAATGTTAATACTTGTTAAATAATATTGTTGTTATATTTAATCACGATAGTGGGTGATGATTATGTTTTTGGATAAATGTCATAAAATAAATAAGAAAGTTGTCAGATTAATATAATATGTATTACTGTTCATTTTGAGAGTAAGAAATATATAACACAACCTGTTCTGTTACTTTTCAATTGCCAATTGCCTATCTTCGCATAAACATTCGTTTTCAAATTTAAAATAGAAATTCGCGCGGTTTATCAGAAACAAGGTACTTCTCGCTATAGCCAAACACACCTGTAGTGGAGGAAAGGAGATGACCAAGGGCCATTAATCATACCTATACAGGTGAGCGAATTTGCAGAAGATCTTGTTTCTGTCGAGTTTGAAAATATCCTTATTCGTGTACCTATCGAGTGATAATACAGTCCACTGCAACTTCTCGCCCATAACATTGGTCCTTCTTACGCGGATTTTGGATTTATCATATTTTTCAGTGATATAAAAAAAATTAATTGAATAAATATCGAAATATTTATGCAAAAATAGGTGAATTCATTCATCGGCCATCAATCACGTTTCTCTTATCGTTCAACCAGGCATCCCTTCTCTCTGTTGTTGTTTCCTATCAAAGACACACCTTCCGCGCAGCGAAGACGCTCCATACTCATTGATAGTTGAATCGACAAGCCAAAATACAATAGCTCATCAATTCGGCGCTCGCTTGGAAACAACAGCTGATATCTCAATCACGATATAAACAATATTGTTATCGTCGTGTAATATTATCAAGTGATTCGTATCAATTACAAATTGTGAAAAACTCTTCAGTACTCTACGAATAGTGGAACACTCTTCTCAAAAACCAATTATTGCTCTTGAGGAATTCGAAATTTAGTTGGGTTTCTAGACTAGATCAAATTATCAGTGCATTGCCGCTCTCCAAAAGTTGCATATAGGACGTCGCGACGACAGTGACGTACGAGCTCTCTCATTGTCAGTGTAATAAAGGTATACAATAGATATAAAACTGTTAGCCTAGTTTCACTATGGCCACGAAAGCTAAAGAACACAAACAATTGTTAGCACAAAGGGCTACAGAAATTACCAAAATAACCGAATTGAAAAAGGTAGCCGATCTCTCTCTAATTGATAAAAGTTACCATTATAATTTCAAATGTCGTGCCAAAATATCCGATACATGTCAAGAAACCTTTGAACATCTTCACTCACAAGTGATTGCATATGTCTCTACTAGGGGTGGGCGATAATGATTTTGAAATATCGATTATCGATATTCATAATGTATCGATATTATCGATTTATCGATATTATCGATATTATCGATATTATCGATATTATCGATATTATCGATATTATCGATATTATCGATATTATCGATATTATCGATATTATCGATATTATCGATATTATCGATATTATCGATATTATCGATATTATCGATATTATCGATATTATCGATATTATCGATATTATCGATATTATCGATATTATCGATATTATCGATATTATCGATATTATCGATATTATCAATATTATCGATATTATCGATATTATCGATATTACCTCGGATATTACCGATATAATTATCGATTATCTTGAAAATTATTGATTTTTCTGATTATCCTTGATAATTTTTGGAATTATCGATTTAATGGAGATTCTAAAAATATTAGAATAATTCGAAATGTAGAAGATTAGTCAGCCGGTGAAGCCAGAAATGCTGGAACAATTACTGTCGAAATATTCTTCTCGGAGTTCCGATAGCTCCTAAAACTGGATCAACACAAAAGTGCTAGTCTCATATATTGATAACCGGTTATAATGAATTATTAGGAGATTAATAAGTCAAAATTATTAAAAAAAAATATATTCTGAACAGCATACAGAAATAAAACCAATAAACAATATTCAAAAACAAAACAAATCTCCAAAAATAAATGAAACTTTCACCATTATAGAAAAAAATAGAAAACACTTAATAGTTGTAAATGTAGATCTGAGAATTGAACAGCATCTATTACATAGAAATAAGATGCCTATTTAGTGACAATACGATTAACTGCTCCGCATGTTCAGTAGTGAGCGCAGATCTCACATCAGTCACCACTCGTCCACCTTTGCTAAAAACCCTTTCGGATGGAACGCTTGTGGCTTGTATACATAAATATCTTTTCGCAAGAATAGACAGTCGAGGGAAATTCGCGGTATGAGTGTTCCAAAAAAGTAAAGGGTCCTCATCTGTATCGAGCTGCAAGAGTCCCAAATATTTGGTTATTTCCAAATCATAGTCTTGGACAGACGTGCCTACACTGTCAACAGTGCCAACATCTTTTTTCGGCTTGAGCAAAGCAGCTAATCCTGAGAGTTTTTTTTTACTTCTTGGAGGTATGACTTCATTTCTTACGACATCTTTTAATTCTTTATTCACTATATATGTTATTTCAGCAGTCTCAACTTCTTCGAAAAATTGTGTTTTGAATCGAGGATCAAAAAACGTGCATTTCTGTAAAAGTCGACAGACATTTTGGTTTTCTATATACCTATTTTTAAATGTTTTCAAGATTATATTCATTATAGTCGAACATGTTGAATTAACTTCGATGTCAACTTGGGTTTCTTCTGCCTTATCGTTATACGTCTCCTGTATTTGATTCAGAAGAGGTAGTATGGTAGAGGCCGTTACATAGCTTTCACCTGACATATGCTCTGATATATCTTGCATGGGTCTCAATAGTTTTATGACTTCTTGAAGTAAAGATACCTCATCTTGGTTGAGTACCAAATGCTTGTATTTTCCTCCACTGAATTCTCCTAAAAAAATATAATTAAAATTTCCAATAAAGAAGGTTTTAACGCCTTACCCAGGAGACTAACCAGCGCTATATGCTGTTCCACCACAACCGATATTAAACGCAGCATAGACCACCATCTTGTTCGTGAATATGATGGAATTTTCATTATTGGTAAATTGAATTGTCTTTGTTTTTCATGCAAATCTCTACTCAATTTCCAACTATGAGCAAAAGCACTTTGTATTTTTGTTACTTTTCCAATCGACGGTTGTAGCTCAGCAATTCGTAAGGATTTTTCTACTCCGGTATTCAGACTATGACCGAAACATGGAATATGATTCACTTTCAATATCTCAATGGCTTTGATTATATTTGCACCAGAATCTGTCGTAAATGTTTGATGTTTTAGCTTTTCCAAGTTCCATTCGCACAAGAGATGGCTTAACATAGCAGCTACAATGTCCGATGTGTGATCTTCATTCAGTTCTGCACAATTTAGACATACACCTTCAAGCTTCCACTCTTTGCTGATGTAATGGGCCGTTAATGCAATATAAGGTTTATTGCCCGTTGAAGTCCAACAATCTGTGGTGAATGACATTTCGTTTATTTCAGCTAATCGATCTTTTATTTTTTGAACAGTTTCATTGTACAGTTTCGGGATCTTACATTCGGATAGAGTTTTTCTGCTTGGTAATTTATAGCTTGGAACAGCCGTCTTCATCAGATGTTTAAATCCATGCTGTTCTACGATATTATAAGGTTGCATCGAAGTAGCAATGAAGTAAACTACTGCGTCAGTTATCATTTCTTCTTGTCTTTTGCTCAAGGTATACTGTGTCATAGATTTTTGTTTCGTGTGGGTTACCTTCGGAGACCGGGACATAGCACGCACTGACATTGGATTTGGTGATAAAACATGTGAAGATGAGGATGACTCATCTACTTCTAACACTTCCAACTCCAAGAAATTTGTTATGCCATCTTCTGAAATAGATGGCGTATTTTCATTGTCTACCGAGGTTTCATAGTGGTCCGACTCATTTTCAAATCTATGAATAATAATTTGTGAATCAGTTAAATATGCAACAAAAACATCATTCACGCATTACCTTTCTTCGTCACTATCGTTTCGTTTTCTTTTCAGAAATTCCAACTCACGAAATTTCTTTGGATGTGCACTCTTCAAATGCCACATCAAGTTTGAGGTGTTCCCCTTGTTCGGTACTTTCTTTTTACAAGAGATGCACTCAGTGACTGTGCCCTGTTCTTTTTTCTCAAAATAGTTCCATACGAGGCTCCTCTTAATGAAACTGGACATTTTATTAGTGGAAAACTGTGGAATTTACCTGAAAATTTATGAATTATCAGTGCGTCCATCTACGATTAGTTCTTAATTTTTGATCCATGTAATGAATTTGAATGTGCTATCACTTGACAATGTATTTTTAACGTGAAAATCGTAGAAGAATTTTTTACGACCCAACATATTTGAAAAACTGCACCGGATTTGAAATATCTTGGAATCTGTAGGTATGTAGGTCCATTCGTCAACGTGACAACCCTGCAAGCCCTGGCACATGCAGACACGAATCACCTTTACTTGCGTCTGGCCCCTGCGGGCAACTGCTTGTGTCGAGCCAGCGAGAATCATACGCGGGAAACGCGCCGGTATACCTACGTGGTTTAATTCCAGCTCCGAACGGAAAATCGAAAAGCATCTGAACTCAATTTTCAATGGAGATTTATATTAATAATCCACTTGAAAAAAAATTGAGCTTCTAATCAGTGAGTAATCACAGGGTGGCTCAGATTGAAAATAATAAACTCCATGATAGATTTATGATTACTACCTACATGTTAGAAACAATATTGTAGGAAGGTATATAACTACAGAGTGATAGTCATATACAGGGTGAATCAGAATACTATTTGAGAAATATCTGAACTGTAGTATAATATACCTATATACAGGGTGCATATGAGTCAGAAAAATTCCATGAACTACTATATCTTTCCATTTCCAAACAGGATAGACCAGAAATTGATAAATGTTGTGTCGTATGTCAAAAAATGTAATACCTATGGCGGGCGATAACCTGATATACAAGGTGGCTCATAAGTGTGAGGAAGTTCTATATCTTCGTTATTATTAGGAATATACAAAAAAAGTTCGGATATGTCACAGGGTTCCACTGGGTGCATATTTTGAAGATACTGCCATATATATACAAGTTGTTTCAATTCAGCGGGGCATCAATAAATAATCAGGTTTTTTTATATAGTAATGTCCATCAATTTTTACTAAATCGGATTAAGCATAAAATTCTACATAGACACCATATATTCGATAATAATATTGATTGCGTTATTGCCGAATAACAATTTTTTTCTTGAAATTATATTTACCGTACCTACATCAGAAAAGTCATAATAATTGAAATCATAAAATATATTTTTAATGAAAATCCCTATATTTTCATCAACTTCCGACATGCTCTGATCAATCTGTCAGACAAATCTGTCAATAAGATGTTCCGGGTACTTTTTACACTCCTGAGAATTTCGCAATATTCGAAATATTGATACTATTTTTTCAAATGGAACACCCTGTATATTTTTACGTCATCTTGTAGAAAGTATATCATGCTCTTAAAATATTGTTGTATGATTAATGCTTCAAAAATTGTCCATTTTCGAAATATTATTACTTTTAGTAGAAAAGGTATAAAAAGTACGAGAAGAATCCATATATTGTGCTTCCGTTGGACATCGTTATAGGTAACATTGTGTCTAACACTTGAGGTCAATATGGGATTCGGCGAATATTTATGGAAGATGGTATGTGGTTATCAGAAAATATAAGACTAAGGGTCGGTTGCACAAAAGCCAATCAAGTCAATAAGGTTAATGGAGTTTCATGGAGTTTATCGTCCTTATTCTGATGTATATTATGACTATGACCCTGTAGTTATATATACCTTCCTACCAACTATTCAGAAAAATAGCTTTTCATATGTAGTTATACATTTTTTTTGAAGTGGATTAGTATGAATCTCCATTGAAAATTGCATATACAAAGGCTTTCCAATTTTCCGTTCGGAGCTGTAATAAACAGCGTACCTGCATACCGCGTGCCCGCGTACGAATTGATATATTACGCACAAGGAGTTGCCCGCAGGAGCTAGACGCAAGTATCACCGTTATCATCGTCGGTGGTTTACCGGAACAGCGATCGAGCTCGTGCCAGTCGTGACAAGGGTATTTTTATAAAACAAATTTTTTCTAGGTAGGTATAATAAACAAAGCTATTTTGTCATTATGTTATTTTTCAAGACATGAGCGATCGAATGATAAAATAAAAATATTCCATATAATCAGATAACTCACCTTACTTGATACTTGTTACTCGTTCAACACTTAACTAACCAAAAAGTTTTCCACCACAACTAATAAGGGTTGCCACGTTGCCAGATAGCTTCAGGCAAGTTGCTGTGCTGGAGTCCTATGTTGTTTGAACAAGGCTAAGTAGGTGGCGTGTCTTATTATATTTTCATTCTTACCTCAATTCTTACCAACAGGTATCTGTTTTATACAGGTTGTTCCATATGAAAAACAAAAATACCTATTTTTATGATGCTCATTCATTTTGATAATTTTGAAATTATCGGTTATATCCGTGGTTATATCGATAATTTCGATGATTTCGATATCATCGATAATATTGATAATTTCGATAATATCGATAATATCGAAAATTTCGATTATTTCAATTATATCGATAATATCGATAATTCCGATAATATCGATAATATCGATAATATCGATAATATCGATAATATCGATAATATCGATAATATCGATAATATCGATAATATCGATAATATCGATAATATCGATAATATCGATAATATCGATAATATCGATAATATCGATAATATCGATAATATCGATAATATCGATAATATCGATAATATCGATAATATCGATAATATCGATAATATCGATAATATCGATGATATCGATAATATCGATAATATCGATAATATCGATAATATCGATAATATCGATAATATCGATAATATCGATAATATCGATAATATCGATAATATCGATAATATCGATAATATCGATAATATCGATAATATCGATAATATCGATAATATCGATAATATCGATAATATCGATAATATCGATAATATCGATAAATCGATAATTTTTCTCCAAATTATTATCGATAATTATCGATAATTATCGATAATTATCGATATATCGATAATTTTTCCCACCCCTAGTCTCTACTCTTGACGATGGAAACCTGGAAGAGGGAAATAAAATATTCAATGATTATCATAATGATTATTTTCATTGTCAGGCTATCTATATGCAACTTTTTGAGGACACCAACAATATATCATCTGCTATCAATTCCAATTCCACAGCTCTCCCAATCCCACACTCTAGACAAAATGTCAAATTACCGAAAATAGAGCTACCCAAATTTGACGGAGACTTGAGGATTTGGCAAACATTTGAAGATATGTTTGATTCGCTCATTCACACGAATGACTCGATCTCGAACGTTGAAAAATTCAACTATTTGATAAGCTCTTTGAAGAACGCCCCTTCAACTCTGGTGAAATGTACTCCCTTAACTTCTCAAAATTACATGGTTGCCTATAATACTCTAACTAGTGGATATGACAATCGCAGATTAATCGCTACTTCACATTGGCATGCGATAGAGCAAACAAAGAAAATCAGTAATACAGATAACGCTCATGGTCTTCACTTATTGCTAGACACTTTCACAAAAAACCTCTCGGTTTTGGAAAATCTCGGTTTCCCTGTAAAAACTTGGGATTTCTTGCTATTCAATATGCTCATTGATAGATTGGATAGCAATACGGCTACACGTTTTGAACTAGAATGTGGTTCAGAACTGGAAAATGGAAAATACTTTGACAACTTGAAAACTTTTCTCAATAAACAATGCCTTGCTCTCGATTCCGTTAATCATGCGAACCCAAGTTCTTACAAAAAACCGGAATTTTCTAAACCAAAACAGAATTTCTCCATTAACACTAAATCAAAATTCTCTGCATTTTATGTCGACTCACGTCCCAAAATGTCCTGCCAACTATGTTATAATGATCACACTATATATAACTTGTCGGTGACATATTCTGTGTCACCACCTCAGTTATTAGTTTCATGTCAGTTCTGGTTGACTCTGACATGTGTCACTTATTCTTTGACTTTGTATTTCCTTGTGATTTATGATGTTTCTGGTCCCTTGAATTCTATCTTAGCTTCCATTTGCTTTTCGCATTTCTTGATGAATCTCACGTGAGAGAATTTTTGAATAATAATTTTTTCTGATGTACTTCGCCAATAACCCAATTTTAATTTGGTTTTACTGGACATTCTCCAGATTCAAAAACCACTTGAATATGCTGGACTGTTAACTGAATTTTTTTGACTTAGCTTTTCAATTGTAATTTTTTCTCAATATGTTATAAGGTTAGTATATGATTGTATGACTCTTTTTACCCCATAACATCGTCTATTATTATATTTTAGGTACTCATATATTACATCAATTTTGTGTCTGATGATGGCCTGTGGCCGAAAATAGTGACACACGTCGCTTATTAAATTATTTTGTGGTCGACAGACTTTGAGATTTTCATTGCTTTTTCTCTATATATAACTGTCCAGACTTTTCATCGAGAAATGCTAGTGATAGATTCTCTTTAATCAAATCTCACAAATGGTGCACGAACTGCCTTGGATTCAAACACACTTCTAATCAATGCACTTCAAGGTCACGGTGTGTAAAGTACTCTGGGAAGCACCACAGCCTCATTCATTTGGATAAAGGAGAAACTTCTTCGGTGACAGTGAGTGCGGCGCATCCACCAAATACATCTTCATCTAACCGTCCATCACAATCAAGTTCACATCTACCTACCCACACGTATGATAATGACACTAATATTCGAACGCAACAGTCTACAAATTTGTTTACTGGCTCTAACACTACTGTTCTTTTATCAACTGCATTAATTGAGGTTCAAGATAGATTCGGAACATTTATTAAACTGCGCGCCATCTTAGATTCTGCGAGTCAATCCCATTTCATTTCAAGTAAATGTGCTAATAGGTAAGGACTCACACAGAAACACACTGTTGTTACAATGAATGGTATCGGTCGAACAAATTCTCAATCTTCTAAGTCAGTAGTTTGTAATATCAAACCATGTCCCAGTTTAGACTGGATTGTATAGTATTACCAAGTCTCTGTTCTAAT